CAGTAAAGATATTTGCAATGTTTTGATACTAATTAATAATATTATTTTATTGTCTACTGACACGTAAATAATGGTCCTTTATTACTAGACAACTCTCATTGTTATTCTCACATTATATATATATATATATATATATATATATATATATATATATATATATATATATATAAAAAATCACTTTACAATTTAAGTACTAGTTTATATATTAACTAGCAGCATGGCCCGGCGTTGCCCATGCTTGATTTAAAATCGTATGACTCACACAGCAATCGTTATTACTTGACTCAAAATATTTTTGCCCTTCCTTGCCTCTAAAGGAATGCCCTTTGCCGTGCTGATATTGCTACATGCCTTACTTCTTGCCTATCTCACACTGCGAAATTTTTCTAAGCTCGATACTAAACATTAAATCTGTTACAAAAAAAGAACTAAACAAAATGAACGCAAAATGATCAGCTTTAAAAAAGGACTCGTAACTGGAAAAACCGAATGAAAAAAGAATATTAACAACAAATACTTTTTCACACCGAAGCCAGTTCTGCGGAATCAGAATCAACGTTGAGTTTAAGCAAGCGAATGAGCCAATTGGAGTAAAGTGCCATGCAGATTTAAATTTTTCCCACTTCTGACGAATGCAGCTATCGATTTTCTTTTGCATGCTAGGATGCTAGTTAACATTCGTGTCAGTCAGCTGTTGACTCTCACGCTGGCCAGTAGAATCTTCCTGCCCATTAGTGGCAGGCAGCTATTGGCTCTCACTCAGGCCAGTACAAAATGGCCGCAAACTACATGAAAACTGCCGTAGAAACATGAAAAAAAAAAAAAACGATTATTTCCACTATCGATGGGAGTTGGGAAATGCAAAGTCGGTCTTGGTCTTCTCGCTAACTTGGAGCATGTAAATTTTGGTGCAGATCCGTCGAAAATTGCGGCCGTGCATTCGTTACACACACACACACACACACACACACACACACACACACACACACACACACACACACACACACATCACACATCCTGCCTTTTATAGATAGAGATAAGAAAGCACAGACACAAGTGTTCATATATATATGTACACACACACACACACACACACATATATATATATATATATATATATATATATATATAATAAAGAGAGAGAGAGATAATATTAGTGGTAAATATACACATACATATGCAAAATATATATACATAGATGCATACACATATATACATATATATTTGTATAAAAAAAAATTCCAAGAGTATAGAATCCAGGTAGAACTCAATGTCCAGGACAGAGTAAGGATATAATAAAAGGCTTAAACACTAATATTCCATGGTCATAATTTATTCCATTGGAATCGTAAATACGATCAATTCATCAGACCTACAAATTCAAAAAGAAAACAGAAAAAACAACTACGGAAATAAAAAATAAAATTTAGTGAGAGTGTATGTATGAGAGTGTGGGACGAATGTTAGAGCTATAGAGAGGGGTAACAAACGAGAGAAGGTGGGGGGTTAAAATTTAACAGAGAGAAGTTTTAGAGAGGTGAGTCAAAGACGGTTTAAGTGAGAGAAATATGAACGTTGTCGGATGTCTAATACATTAAAGATGTAACCGGAAAGGATACATTTTGTGGTGACATATATATATATATATATATATATATATATATATATATATACGCAGCATATTTTCATTGAAACATGTTTGGCTAAATAGTTTCACAGTTCAAACAGATATTAGTCGAAAATATATCAGTGCTTCATCGAGATAATAAGCAAACACTTTAAATTCTGTAAGTCCTTGATATAAGAGAATTCCTGCCAATAACAAAAAGTTAATTACTCGGATAGCAACTATGTTCTTAGATGTTTGTTGTAGCAAACTGTTATAAAAAAAATGCTAAATTAAAATACTACAATTAAAAACTTGTTTTTAAAAAATCGGATAAGTTACATCCCTTGCACAGCGGTGAAAAAATATTTTGAATTGACGGTGTTAACGCATAACGTATCCATAAATATGCAAGCACTGAAGATGGTCTCAGATGAGGTTGAAAGTACTTGGGAAAATAAAAATTATCTGAAAGAAAATTTTGGAATTTTTTTTTATTAATTCTCTCCTGCAACCAAGAAATTAATTCGTTGACTTAAAAGGATAAAAACCAAAATAAATAGACATAATACATGTAAATTATTTAACCAAACATCCTTGAACATATATATATATATATATATATATATATATATATATATATATATATATATATATATATATGTGTGTGTGTGTGTGTGTGTGTTTGTGTGTGTGTATCTTTATGTGTGTATATATATATATATATACATATATATATATATAATGTGTGTATATATATATATATATATATATATATATGTATATATATATACGCATATGTATATATATAATGCGTAGATATATATATGTATATATATATATATATATATATATATATATATATATAATGCGTGTGTATATATATATATACATATGTATATATATATACGCATATGTATATATATATATATATACACGCATTATATATATATGTATATATACGCATATATATATGTATATATATATACATATATATATACATTATATATATGTATATATACGCATATATGTATATATACGCATTATATTTATATATACGTATATATACGTGTATATATATATATATATATATATATATATATATATATATATATATATATTATAATTATTTTCTTTTAAAAATATGATGGAATCTTATTTTGTATCGAGCACTATTTTTTTAAATAAAAATAAATGCTAATAATACCTGATTATAATATTACTGTTCTCTCTTAATATTTTAATATATATATATATATATATATATATATATATATATATATATATATATATATATATATAATAATGAACTCAAGACGCCCAAAATAACGAAGTAGACGAAGAAAAACAAAACCACGCCCAAGGGGGGAAAAGGAAAATCTAAAACCAAAAATTGAACCCTAACTTGAAAGTGCACAAAATCCTCCATAAAGCAGACTAGGAAATTCGATTTAAAAAAAAAAAAATCTAAGAAGAGGAAGAATAGGACCCGATAGGCTTTTGTTGTTTCCCATTCAACTTTGATCTTCAAAGTTTAAATGCAATTCCAGTTGTTGTCTTCTAACTTCTTAATTCCTCTTCTTTTATTGTTCTCTATTCTTAATAGTGTTATTTTTCATCATTTCTAGTAACCCCTTACGTCTCAGTGGCTTTATTGCTTTGTTTGGAGATGTAATGGTTAAGAAATATCCATGAAATACTAATATGACTAAAAGTTTCTCGCCATGATGGGATCCTCAGAAGGCTTAAAAAACGAATATGCATTTTAGACTGTTTAATAACATCTTCATTCGATTTCAAGCTCTGTCAAACTTTTCTATGCATAACGTTGCTTTTAGGATAAATGTACAAATAAATTAGAAATTTAACGCTTGTACGATATCAGGATGAAGCGAATAAAATAGATTCCCTTTCGGACACTGACCTGATGATTATCAGAAAATGTTGAAACTACTCGAACATGCACTTTGGAATGTTTCTCCACAATTTTGATCCAAAAATGCGACAACTTATAAGAAAAAATGGAAAATTATAATGAAAATTTAAACGGAGCTTATCGCTAGCAATTTAGAAAACACACACACAGATATATACATGTGTGTATGTGTGTCTTTCTACTGTGTTTGTCATATATAGATATTATTATTTGTGAGCTTTTAATGCTTGTTACGATGTTTAATAAGACATGGAAGCAAAATATTGTCAAATCTCTGAGAAATTATTTTATTAAATATAGAATTCAAATTTATGAAAAATATTTATCTGTCTTTTTTATTCATGCAACTAAAAAAGTAATCTCTGTTGTCACTGAGGTTAAGTCGATATCGCCATTGATTCGTGTTGGGCTCACTCGTCACCAGTTTGATAATCGTTCCTTGAAATATCTCCTATTTATTTTTTTGTTTAATCTGTTCCTGTCCCAGAAAGATTTCTCTCCATCATGATGCAATATTCCGTATACTGAATTCTTCATAGTAATTGTTCAATGGTTGCCCGTTTATTTATTTATTTTTCACTTTTTTTTACACATAAAAATAAAACAGGGAAATACGATAGTGAAAAAATGTAAATGCGTTCAAGTTTAGGCCCATGAAATGTGGTTAGGGTTAGGGTTAGGGTTAAGGTGAGGTCATATGGTTGTCAAGATAGATTTCGGGTGGGTCGAATGAAAAACAAAAATAACTTCAGCTTGAGAGTTGCGAATGTTAGTCACAGAGAGGATGGATGGGTCACTAGGCGAAAAGGAAAAAGAAACGGTTGAAGATTAGACAAATAAAGGGTAGAGAGAAAAATAATAAAAGAAAATTAAGGAGAAGGGAGAAAGAAAGTGAAAGACAGAGATAGAGATCAGAATAGTAGAAAGACTTACATATATGTTGTTGCCAATGTCAGGGACCCGTGTTCGAATCCAGGTAGCATCTCTAATTTTAAATACTGATTTATTATGCTGACAATATTTTCTTAATAGCAAAATTAGTGACAAATAGTTTTCATACACTCATACACACACATGTATATACGCTCATTCGGACCACTAGATTTAACCTTTTATCGTAGCTAAGAAAGGAAAATAAGAAAGAAAGAAGAAGAATGAAATTAGAAAAAAAGAAAAAAGAAAGAAAGAACTGCGAAAGGAAGGAGGAAAGTATGAGAAATATGAAAGAAAAAATGGGATAAAAAACAGCAAAGATAGCTCACTGAAGAAAGAAAGAAAGAAAGAAAGAAAGAGAAAAGAAAGAAAGAAGTAGTAAAAAAAGGAAGAAGGATAGTATGAAGAACATGGAAGAGAGAAAAATAAGATAAATTACTACAAAGATAGAGAGAGAGGAAGTTAGCTAGCACAGCAAAGAAGGAAAGAAAGAAAATAGAGAAAGAAAAATTATAACTATATGATTTAAATAAATGTGGAAAAGAAAGAAAGAAAGAAAGAAAAAAGAAAATAGAGAAAGAAAAAAAAAAAAAAATAGAGAAAGAAAGAAAAAATTATAACTATATGATTTGAATAAATGTGGAAAAGAAAGAAGGAAAGAAAAGAAAAAAAAAAAGAAAATAGAGAAAGAAAGAAAAAATTATAACTATATGATTTGAATAAATGTGGAAAAGAAAGAAAGAAAGAAAGAAAGAAAGAAAAAAGAAAATAGAGAAAGAAAGAAAAAAGAAAATTGAGAAAGAAAGAAAAATTATAACTATATGATTTGAATAAATGTGGAAAAGAAAGAAAGAAAGAAAGAAAGAAAGAAAAAAGAAAATAGAGAAAGAAAGAAAAAAGAAAATAGAGAAAGAAAGAAAAATTATAACTATATGATTTGAATAAATGTGGAAAAGAAAGAAAGAAAGAAAGAAAAAAGAAAATAGAGAAAGAAAGAAAAATTATAACTATATGATTTGAATAAATGTGGAAAAGAAAGAAAGAAAGAAAGAAAGAAAAAAGAAAATAGAGAAAGAAAGAAAAATTATAACTATATGATTTGAATAAATGTGGAAAAGAAAGAAAGAAAGAAAGAAAAAAAAAAGAAAATAGAGAAAGAAAGAAAAAAGAAAATAGAGAAAGAAAGAAAAATTATAACTATATGATTTAAATAAATATGGAAAGGAAAGAAAGAAAGAAAGAAAGAAAGAAAGAAAAAAGAAAATAGAGAAAGAAAGAAAAAAGAAAATAGAGAAAGAAAGAAAAATTACAACTATATGATTTAAATAAATGTGGAAAAGAAAGAAAGAAAGAAAGAAAAAAGAAAATAGAGAAAGAAAGAAAAAAGAAAATAGAGAAAGAAAGAAAAATTATAACTATATGATTTGAATAAATATGGAAAGGAAAGAAAGAAAGAAAGAAAGAAAAAAGAAAATAGGGAAAGAAAGAAAAATTATAAAAAAAAAGCAAAATTATATGTAGGGCAAAAATAAATGTGGAAAAGAAAGAAAGAAAGACAGAAAGAAATGAAATGAAAGAAAAGGAAAGAAAAAGAAAGAAAAAGAAAGAAAAGGAAATAAAAGGAAAGAAAGAAAAAATAAGGAATAAGACTTCATGCAAAAAAAAATAGGAAAATTACATGTAGGGAAAAAATACTTCTAAAATATCAACAAATAAAAAAACTATAAAACAATTTCTTGTGGTTGATGTTTCTACTTAAGTTACTTTCTGAAGTGACATAAAGTGCGTCAGAGTTTAATTTGCACCTTTTTTTTTTCCTCTCCTCAGGTTGCCCGATACAATTTACTGGTTTTGACGATATGTTTTTTTTTTGTTTTTTTTTTGTGTGTTCTTTTTTTTATTTTTATTTTTCGTTTCATTTTAGGCGTGGCGACAATTTTTTTTTTTTTTTTTTTTGCCTCCCAAGAAAATACGGTTAAGAACAAAATTTATATCGAGAACAAAAGCGAATAAAAAAAAGGAGACGAAATATGGCAAAGGAGTGAGTAGAAACAGAAGATATAAAAAGGAGAAAGAAAAAAAGGCGAAAAAAAGGCAAAGAGAAAAATAAAAGAGAATTTACACAGAATGAAATAGGAGATTTACTCACACTGTAACACACGCATACACACACACACACACACACACACACACACACACACACACACATATATATATATATATATATATATATATATATGGAGAGAGAGAGACAGGACACACACACACACACACATATATATATATATATATATACATATATATATATATATATATAAATATATATATATATATATATATATATATATATATATATATATATATATATATATAGTTAACCAAAAGTAGGTGGAGAGAGTAGGTTGAATAGGATTTCTGTTAGGGTTGTATAATAACTATGATGTTTGTGTTATATTAAATTTTATAAATAAATTTATTTACATATAACTTTTTTTTCTTTTCGGTCACTTCAGAGAACCCGGAATGGCAAATAATTTAAATAATGATTCAAGAAAATGCCTGTTAAAAGAATATTGGAAGTTTCAAAATGCTGGAATCGTTTCAACTAAATGGGTTGAAACATTTGGTATTCAAACCCCAAAGAGACAAAACTATTTACCGCATTGGTGACAAATTTGATGCCAATGGCTCAATTCTTAAGACCTTCAAAATTGGTTGACACAAAACAGCTTTTACAAAGGACCATAAACAACTTGTTGCCAATGCATTTATCATTTACTGTGTATCTACTTTTGGTTCAAACAGATAGATAGATAGATAGATAGATAGATAGATAGATAGATAAAGATAGATAGATAGATAGATAAAAAGACTGATAGATAGATAGATAGATAGATAGATAGATAGATAGATAGATAGATAGATAAAGAAAAGACTGGTAGATAGATAGATAGATAGATAGATAGATAGATAGATAGATAGATAGATAGATAGATAGTCTGTCCTGCTATTTACCCATAGCTGGAGGGAGAAAAAGAGGATTCATACCTTCCCCAGGATATTAGAACGGAAGTGAGTTTAATGGATTCGACTGGAATTCGAAATCGGCACTCCGATTCTGACTATGTATATATACATGCACATAAACATGTATATATCAGTTAGTTATGTGCCATGCGTGATACACGCTAAGGCGATCATGTATATTTCGATACATGACTGACGAGGCTGATTTTTTCCCGCAGTAGGTTGCCATTTCTTTCTGCGGTAGACCAGTTGCCATCCAGGGCTATGGAACTCGGTCTATCCTGCTATTTACCCATAGCTGGAGGGAGGAGAAGAGGATTCATACCTTTCCCCAGGTATTAGCACGTAAGTGAAGTTAATGGATTCGACTGAAATTTGAACTAGGCTCTGCGATTCCTCAATCCAAGCTGCCATCCATAACTCCACTTTTACTCCACTCCAATGCATGAGAATGATTTATAGTTAACCGAATCAGCAGACTTTTGGCAATTTCTACTCATAAAGTCCATTAAACAAACTTCGTCGCATGCAAGAGAAGCATGTATATTGTTGTGAAGTGTGAGAGTTAATGTTTCATTCTTGGGGATCTTCTAAGCATAGAGGTGACCCAAGGCCGAAAGAATGGGGCACTCAGCTAGGATCTAACTACTTAGTCGTAATTAAACTAGCGACGTACACTTGCTAATCATTACATCACGTCAAAGCGCCCAGGTCTCTTGCTTGAGAATAGAAGGACGACACATACAAGCTGGTATGTAAATTCAGTATATATATATATATATATATATATATATATATATATATATATATATATATATATATATATATATATATGTGTGTGTGTGTGTGTGTGTGTGTGTCTTTTTCTAGAAATACTTTCACGGTAACTGCTCCGACGAGCGACTTTCGATAGTTCCCAGACTGCATGAATTTAAGCGTGCTACTAGGATGGCATCAAGGTCTCACCCTTTCACTGTCGAAACGGTTAAATGTGACCGTCTCTTCTACTCCAATAGTTTCATGCCCCGCACCTCGCGTCTGTGGAAATTATCTTCCTCTTAATTGTTTCCCTGATAGCTATAATCTCCAACTGGTCAAATGTAATGTCAATCGACATCTCCAGATGCCCTGACCTATTCCCTGTGCTTCTCTTCATCCTTTTCTCCGTTACGCCTCTTTACTCTTGCTCCAACTCTCTGTAACCCCTTGCGTATTAGTGTCATCCCAACTTGCTTGGGATGAAATGCTTAAATACATGTATATTTATGTATAGAAAATATTAGGATTTGAAATAATCATAATTAAGTAATTCATCGAGTCTAGAAGAAACCTCAACAGAATGCAGAAAGCACTGGATGGCTGTTTCGTCCTATATTTGGCACTCATCAGCAATGCGCATCCACCACCGAGAATTGAAACCCTGACAGTTACGACAGGAGGCAAAGGCCATACCAACTGTACCAACGGGCCTCGGTGACGAAGAGTTAACAAATTAAACGTCGTTCGATCACATATTTCGCGGTGGAACTCATCCGAGTTTCTCTTTACCCATAAGACTGTGCTTCCAAGGGGCTACAACTAATGCTAAGTATGTATGCGTTGAAACTTGACTAATGCATGGAATAATAATGCAACACAAAATGTCCTTAGAACAAAATGTCGGGCAGAGTCTCTGATTGAATCTCTTGATTCCTCCCTCTCTTCCCGGTACCAACCATATTTATATGGTCGGTACTCCACTATGCAAATTAGGTGGATCCTACCACAACAGGATGTATGTATGAAAGGGCACATTAGAAGTGATGATGATCAAATCAACTTCCACCACCCGGAGATGATTTGATATGCCACATATGTGACAAGAAATTCAGATCAATGGCTGACTTTTTGAGCCACTGTTGTTCACACAACCGATGAATGCAGTGTTGTGGCGAGGGGGGGAGTTTAAGTGAAGGGCTGGGCATGTAAGTGATGGTCCTACTCGCTTTGCGAGTCGACTGCCACCATGTATGTATGTATAATGGCGACGTGACCGAGTGGGTAAAACGTTCGTTTTATGACCATATGACCCGGGTTCGAATCTCGCCGTGGTCGATTTGTCAGGAAGGTCACTTCTTGATGTTATCGGTCTGATATGCAGTACCGAAAATCATACCACTGGGTGATCCGAGCCTTGTGAGTGAAATTGGGGAGACGGAACACTTTGGCGAGGCGTCGATGGTTGTGCTAACATACAGTCACAGGTCATCAAGGGTTTGAGTGTGTTGGCCTTATTCAGACTGTTGAACAAGGCCAGATAAAGCGTGCTCTCCCAGAAACTGTAACTAAGGTCCGCTCAGCTTAACCACAGCATTTGGCTATTGGACAAATACAAATATGCATCAGCAGGTGTCTGTAGTAGATGGGTATCCTCGGATACGAGTGGCCAGCTATATATATATATATATATATATATAGATAGATAGATAGATAGATAGATATATATATAAATATATATATATATATATATATATATATATATATATATATATATACCCAGGATCACAAACTCACATCTATCCAACCAAATATATATATATATATATATATATATATATATATATATATATGTATGTATGTATGTATGTATGTATGTATAAGTGCGCAGGTATGCAAAAAATAGAAAAAGAACACGTTGGGGCATAATCCGAGTTTCCTAGTATTTTTGTTTTTTATTTTTAAGAAGACAGTGCTCCATACAAGTAGCGCTTTATTACAATATTTTTTGTTTAAAAATATGATTCCTTCGCTACATAAGAGTTCTCATGTTTCAAAAACGAGAGCCAGAAACCATCCAAATAATTATTAAAATTAAGTTGAATTGAGGCTTGAAGATGAAACAAGACTAAACACCTCAATTCAACTTAATTTTAATAATTATTTGGATGGTTTCGGCTCTCGTTTTTGAAACATGAGAACTCTTATGTAGCGGAGGAATCATATTTTTAAACAAAAAATATAATTTATATATATATATATATATATATATATATATATATATATATATAGATAGATAGATAGATAAATAGATAGATAAATATATAAACACATATATATCTATATATATATATATGTGTGTGTGTGTGTGTGTGTGTGTGTGTGTAAACTCGCAAACAAAACACTTCTATTAAGAGTATGGCCTCATCAAAATATGACTCCATATTGTACGAAGTGCGAGCCCATAAATAAATTTGTCTACTTACTGGTGTTACAGACTGTTCTTTCACGTAGTTTTTCAGCTCAATGTTTTGTAAATATCTTAGAATAATCCCTTATTGAAGCCACTTCCACCTCGTGTCAACAATACAAGGGAGATAACTATAGAGCTAAACATTAAAGATATTACAGACAAACGTACAAATGCACTTGGTTTACGATATAGTAAGTTATAATTTTATTTGTTTTCAACATGCCTTTAAAAATTATTTTTCTTCAATCATCTTTAGTGAAAATAAAGTGAATTTGCTTAATTGTTGTTTATAAAACTTTTGTTTGCATTGAAATCATATTTTTTAATTTTTTTATCTAAAAATCTTTGCTTTAATGTAAAATATTAAAATATTCCACTTTTCCTAATTAAATTTTAATTATTTGCACAAATTTTCTTTCAATTTACTATAAACCTCTTCATTAGAGACATTTTCATTGGAGAAACATTTAAATGGTTAAAAAAAAAAGACACACTAATCACAAAATGCCGATTTTGCACGTATGTTCCCTAATAATATATACGCTTATGTATATCTGCCGATATTTCTGTTTCCGCTACAATAACGAGATATGAATCCGTTTTTACATCACGAAATTACTTCAAAATGTTCGCTTTTATGAGTGGTTATTCTTCGTAAGTAACCTGCACTTATTAACCTTTTCATTTAATTATTTTTCGAATTCCTTCAATTGTGATTATCAATATTTGGGATATTTTTTTTTTTTTACATTTAAAACTTTTTCGTTCTTCCCTTGTTTCCTGAATTTTGGTTTTTGGTTTCCTCGACACTTTTCAAAATCAGCATTGAAATATCAAAGAGAAAGAGGTGAAAATTGAAAGAAAACTATATTAAAGTTTAGAGATAAAAGAATTTCACCTCGCATCCGTTGTCAAACCATGTATTTTATTAAATACCAATACACAAGACAAAACATTATTCGAGTCCCACGGACAATGAAATAATGAGAATGTGAAATATACCCTAAACGAAGTTAGCAATGAAAAATATTAAACAAAAAATAAGAACAATAGTAATAACAAAAAAGACAAGAAAAATAGGGTTAAAAAGAGGATAGAGATGAGTATGACACTGTCTTTTTTTTTATCTGCAGTTGAAAAAATGGCTCTGGGCAATTCGTGTGAGTTACTTCCCCCTATCCGGCCAAATCGAGGCTGTCAAGTAATGAAATGCGCCTCGGTGTGTATATTTTCATTTATTTATTAATTGTCTTGTTGTGATTTTTGTTAATTTTTTAAGTATTTTTTTATACTCTTAGCGTGCTTGTTTCACCAGTATTACTATTAGATATTGTTGAATATTGATTGTGCCTTGTTGTTGTCTGCTGGTAATTGGCACTTTTCTTTCCTGTTATTTTCTTTGTCGACTGCTTTGTTTTAAATCGTTCAGTATATTTGAATCGGCTTATTTTTGTTCGTAGACGCGTTTTATGCTTAAATTCGATGCCATAAACTGTTGGAAGTGACTGTGTCAGGTGAAAGCAATAAGTAAAATGATGATGCTGATTGTCAGGGTAAATAATGATGATTTTTTTTTTTAGTAACGAAAAAGAGAGACAAGAAAGCCTAAAGTGGGTGGAAGAATTATGATATGGCATTTACAAAAAAAAAAAGAAAAGGAGAAAGAGAATATACGAAAAGGCGGGTGGGGGGGGGCTAGAAGTGGAATAATAAAACAGTAAGAAAGAAAGAATGTGTAAATAATAAACCGAAGACATAATCAGAG